CTGCGGGCCCCGGGGGTGGCGGGGAGGTCGCCTTAGGCGACCATCACCGGCCTCAGGCATCCTCCGGCCAGTTGCTGGGCGACGGTGAGCTGTGACTGCCTCGATCGGAGCTGAAGATGCGCTACAGCTCTATTTCGGTAGTGTTAATGGGACGGGGGGGCTAAGAGTTAAATCACTTAGAGGTGTTTTCGTTTTCTGCGGTACACGTTATCGGGGAGGAGTCCTTAGGCTTGTCGCGGTGGCGTGAACAAGCTGTACCCAGATCCGATCAGGGCTTTGGCAGCTGTGAGGTCTGTGCTCACGTGACACCTTCAGACGTCACGCCGAAGCAGCCCGTGTTTTCGAAGGCTGGAGTGCTGCTTCTGGAGGGTTACAAGTGAGTCCCCTGTCTAAAGGGGAAATGTACACGTATTCCTTCCAGGAACATGCTGTGTCTTGCTGTCATGTAAACAACATTCAGCACAAACTTATGCATACACTTAGGAGAACTGGCCGGTAATAGCATCATGATTGCAAAGGAAAGACAGAGATCTGTAGTTGTGTCTTGAAACTTCTCAAACATTTTTTTTAATTTATTTATTCATAGGCTCAACGAATGGATGTGAGAGAACTTCTTTTGCATTTTTGCGACAGGAACTTCCTGTGAGGTTTGCAAACATACTGAGAGAAATTGATCTTCTTCCTGATAAATTACTAGGCACTCCATCAGTACAATTAGTAAAAAGCTGGTAAGTAAGAACTACTTGAATTCAGCCTAACGTAGCTTTGACAACTTCATTGTCGTAAACTTTTTGAGTAGTAGAAGGCAATAACAAAGTAAACTAGAAATGCAGTTGCTTCATCAAAGTTGAATTGCAAGCTGTTATACACTGTCCTTTTATAGCATACTAAAATTAAATTGGAAAACAGCATGGTTATATTGTTATTTTTAAATAGCGTTTATTTTTTTTTTTTAAACTTAACAGTTTGAAATAGTTGGTAGAGCAAATCTCAGTTCTTACCCTTTAAGAAGGGAGAGAAGAAAACATGTTCTGTTTTCACATAGCATTACAGACCCTCAGAGCTACACAAAAATGGTAAAGCAGGCTTGGTACTTGCTTGGGTCTCTTGCTGGTGGAATTACTAACGGATCTTCTGCTCCATAGCATATTGCCTTGGCTTGTGCAGCGAGTGTTCGGAATTCAGTTAACATAATCTCTGCGGTTCACACAGTGGTTGGATCTGATTTAACCTTGCTTTACTGGCACAGTTGCAGCATTTGCAAGGATGGCTGACATTAAGGGCAAAAGTATTAGAGTGAGATCCAGAAGCTGTTGTTAATCTAGCAAACAGTTACGCCTTTGCAGTATGCGTCAAGGCTGTCAGATGTTAGCACAAGAGGCTCAAGTACTTAGCTTGTGCCAAAGCTGATCAGATTTGGAAAAATTTAGCTTAGGTGGCTTCCTGATCAGTATTGTCATTTGGATCTTCTTTTGAAACACCTCTCTTCTCAAGATTTGTAAGGGGATCCTACATACCTAAAGTGAGGGGTTTAGATTCCTTTCTGGGTGGCAAGCACAAGAGAAGACTTTTAAAACTTCTAGGGTTCAGGCAGTCAAGAAGTGTCCATCTATAGATGAAGAAGTGTCTATTCTATACTTGGATGGAACTTTGATGCTTCAGACTTCTATCTGACTTGTTAAAAGTAATGATTTGGGCAAGACAATGTATTTTCCCTGTTCCTAGACTAAAAAAAAAATAAATTATCAAATGAATAGCATATATTTCTTGTGTTCTTTTTCAATAGGTACATCCAAAGCCTAATGGAGCTGGTTGAATTCCATCAGAAAAGCTCAGATGACCAAAAAGTCTTATCTGAGTAAGATTTTCTTTAGTTTCTTTGAACTTTTGATCTCGCATTCCACTTTTCACAATGCAGTCGGTTTAGAATGACAGCGATCGTAAACTGAATTTGATAATCTAGCATGAAGTGCTGTGCATAGAGCAAGCTTGTTTAAATCTCTGACCACTTTTAGCAATATTGCAAATAAATATGACCTGTTGCAGCTTGGTTTCGAGGGCATACTGCCCCTTGAACTGTCACGACAGAGAAATAACAACAAAAATTACCTGTGATGTCATATCCCTGCTTCTTCTTAAGATGTCAGCTCTGGGTCTTTTTCCCTTCCTCACGTTCTCCTCTACTCAAGCTATTATGAATGAATGAACAGGCAGTGAATTTAACATGGCTAATGATTACAACTTTTGTATTAAAAGTATCAAACGCTTGCAGTTTAGGTCAGTGGGGAATTACTTTTAAAAGAATGAAAAAATAGACTGTATTTTAATATTAAGGTTGTAACGTATTAACTGTGCTGCTGTTGGATTAGATAATGACATTATACAAAAGTTGCTTCCATGTAGTCTTAGAATAATGTTCTAAAAAGACCTGTTTTTGACCTAGCTTTATAGATACATTAATTAGAGTCCGAAACAGACATCATGATGTGGTTCCTACAATGGCACAAGGAGTAATTGAATACAAAGACACTTTTAAAGTAGATCCTGTCACCAATCAAAACATTCAGTATTTTTTGGATCGTTTTTACATGAGCCGCATTTCCACCCGGATGCTAATGAACCAACACAGTAAGTAGAAATTTTTACCTGAGGAAGAAACTTCAACCTAATGAGAAACATGTTAATGTAAACATTTCTTAAAACTGTTGGAGATGTGCTTCAGATGACATTATGTGACACTGAAAAGTTAGAAACTGAGTGTATGACTTACAAAAGTAATGGGAAAACTTGTTTTTAGACTGCATACTAATTGTGATAAGTCTTGGGTGGAACATGTAGGGATCCTGTTGAAAAGCTTTTAGATGTTGAATTGTAGAAAAGCCAATATAGTTTGCTGGCAGTAGATAGCATTTTTAACTAGCAAAAGGCGTAAACAACTCTCAGTATTTTATGTAACTGTATGTTGTAATCACACTGTATTAGTCTATATTCAAGGCTTTTTTATAATACAGTTTTGGGATTAAATACAGTATTGTTTTCATCTCAAACAGCCCTTCTTTTTGATGATAAATCCGGCTCAGGGCACCCAAGGCACATTGGAAGTATTGATCCTTGCTGTGATGTTGTTGAAGTAGTGAATGGTATGTATTCGCAGATCCTTAACATTTCTCCCTGTGATTAGTATTTATATCTGATTGCAAGCAATTTCGGTAACCAGCATGTGTTGTATAGGATGCTGACTGGTTTTTATTGAAATAGCTGAAAGCAGTCTATCAAAACTCAAGCTTTTATAGGACAGAATTTAAAATACAAAGTAGCAGTAAAAGATACGTTGGAATAAGGCCTAGCAAGTGACAAATGAGGTAGGAGTTAGTTGTCTGTGGTGTTGAGATTGGCCTTACCTACTGATAGATAACAGATGTGTCTTGTACAGAATTATCAAATTGTACTGAAGGTTTGTCTGTGCTGCTGTAATTGCCTGTTTGTTCTCAGTTTTTAATGCACGCAGTGGATGCAATGTTAGCATTCCTCTGAGACACAGGCTTAGAGTGTGTAACAGCTTAGTAGCTAATGCAGTTAAAAATCATATTTTGCCATGCGGTAGAATGAATTTCTACAGTGTTTGATATTACACTTCACATTTTATTTAAATAAATATTTCAGATGCTTTTGAAAGTTCCAAGATGCTGTGTGACCAGTATTACTTAACATCTCCAGAACTGAAACTTACACAAGTGAATGGTAAGATGAGAGCTTTTACATCTGTCCTCCTATCGATAGCCAAACTGCTGCTTCTACTGAATCAAAAGGCTCTCATTTCTATGGCCGTGATGGTACATACCAGCTGATCTGTCTTGGGCTGGTTCCTCTTCATTTTCTGTTACAGGCACCTCATTTAATCTCCTATGTTAGAACTCAAATGTCATTGTATCTTAAAGACTAGATTTCCTCAGGTAATATTTATGAATTTGAGACAAGTAAGACTAACCTGTACTAAAAGTAACATCATAAGTTGCTAGAGAGGAGCTCTATATCTGGGGTGAGGAAGTGGGGCTACTGACTGAAATGCTGGTTCTGGTCCAAGCTGCCTCTGTGTGTCTGACCTCGGGTAGTCTGCTTAACCTCTGAAATCCTTTACTTATAAAAGGGAAATAATACTTGATTTTTTTCAGTTTATTTGAAAAGAAACTGTTATTAAGTAAGTGGCAATTACAAGCTAGAAACTGTTATGAGTACATAAAGTTGTTTGCTCATTTGGAGGGAAAAAAACCCAAAACTAAAACTTGATTTATTTTCTCGTTTGTTTTGGCATACAACTTGCTTATTGGAATTTTTCTGTATTCTATCCAGGTTTTACATCACCCTTTTAAATCTTGCTTGTGTTTTTCCATTCCTCTAGGAAAACTTCCAGGAGACCCAATTAACATCGTATATGTTCCCTCTCATCTTTTCCACATGCTTTTTGAGCTCTTTAAGGTACGTGAGTATAAACTGTTTCTTCCTTAATAGTCTGAGCAGGAGCATCAATACTTAAAATATCTAGCTAGATAGGAACAAAGTAAAGCTTTGCATAGGACAGGGAGATTTCTAAAATTTTCTTATTTGAGGAAATGGCTTTGGCAGCTGGGGAAGGAATGACTGCAGTTCATCAGAGAGTATTTAGATGCTTCTGTGTGGTGGTAGATGGGACAGGATAAGGGAGAGAGAATAAAAGTGGGACATAGGGTTGTGACCACCGCTAACCTTCTGCTTTTAGAGATTACATCTGTAGTGCAGGTTTGCCCTGGTACCTTTTCTGTGGAGTGGGTAATACATCTTAGTGAATGGAGCTGAACTAATGTGCTGCCAGCATGGGGTGCAGAATTCTGGCAGCCTTTAGCAACTGCTGAACTCTGCGCTTCTCTAGAAACCTGGTGACTTTTAAGGGAGTTACATTATTTAATTTACATTGGCTGAGTAATGTCGGGCAAGAACAGTATAATCTTTAACACATAGAAGAGTCTTGGCTATGCTTAGTCACTTTTAGGTGCAGGACCTCCTCTGCCCCTGTTATGCTAAACTGCTAAATGTTCCTTGGAAACTGAACACTGATAGGAATAGAGGGTAACTGTGCTCAGCCTCTGCGTAACGGGTATAACTTTAAGCGCATAGGTCCAACTCTCTCTGATAATGCTATACTTCTTTTCCATAGAACTCAATGAGGGCAACTGTTGAATTCCAAGAAAACAGTCCTTCCCTTTCTCCAGTTGAAGTGACAGTTGTTCTAGGACAAGAAGACCTGGCAATTAAGGTATTTTGGCAATTAAGTAGTTGACCTACTACAATGAGGGCTTAATGTAATCTTTATGATCGCACATGCTGCAGCACATTCTATTAAAAGAACTTCCAGCCTCTGACAACAGATGAAAGATACTATGTGTGAGCATTCTGTTGAGAGCTTCCATTTAGCTCAATTATCTAACTGAAAAAGAATATGCTGCAAAACAAATGTTTGCATTTATTACTATTGGAAAGGCTTGTTCAAATAACAGCATTTTAAATAACATTCTTAGTACATGATTGTGGTTACTTTATTCTCTCTTGAATCAGATCTCAGACAGAGGAGGTGGTGTTCCAGTAAGGAAAATTGAGCAGCTGTTTAGCTACACGTATTCCACAGCACCAAGGCCGAGGATGGATGATGGTCGAAATACCCCTCTTGTAAGCTATTTTCAACTCATGTTGCTAATAAGGTTGCTGTAAGTGTTGGACAGATTGGTAGGTTAACAAATAATCAAAGGCTATGTCCACCCTACTGCTTTGTGGGGTATGCAAAGATTATTGAGCCTCATAAATATGAATTAACACTTTCTGAAACAAATTTTTAATATCTAGCCTAGTGGACAAAAATATGCTTTTAAAGGTATAAACGAAGAAGAACATTCCAACCTGAATCTAACCCTCTTCTCTTCCTTATACTCCAATGACAGTAATTTACTTGATCTTCACTCCCATGCAGTCCTCAAACTTATTATAAATTGTGCTATCTTTATGGAGGCAAGCACAACTGGAATAGAATTAGACTACTGTTGTTTTTCTACTAGTGGCAAACTCCTCTTCCACACTACATTTCTGTGTTTTCCCTCCCCTGTTTTTGCTGGTACAGCTTGATTAGTAAAAGTGGGACCTGTATAAACCCTCCCACTTCCATGGAGATTAATTTGTTTCTTGTGGTTTTGTTTTTCTAATGGTCAGTTTCAGTATTCTGTATGAAACTGATCAGAGACTTCTTTCTTCTTTTAAAAGAAGAGGAAATGCAAAGGACTTTAACAGTTTAAAATCTGTGAACACTTTCCAGCTATTTAATTTCAAGTCATAAGAGCTAGTAAAAACAAAAAAATTAATTTTGTCTTGTACTTTACTTTTAGGCTGGCTTTGGGTATGGCTTGCCAATTTCTCGTCTGTATGCTAAATACTTTCAAGGAGATCTCAATCTGTACTCCATATGTGGTTATGGAACGGATGCTATTATCTACTTGAAGGTATGTGTTTTGATTTAGTTAAATAAAAGATGATTACCATTAATGTAGTGAGGTAATTACTCAGTATCATTTTAAGGTAAACAAATTCTCTGCTCATGAGTAGAAAAGATCTCATTTTTAATAAAAAATGACAGTAAGATTTGTAACTGGTATCTGGAATTAAAAAGGTCACTTGGCTTTAACTAGTCTACTTGAAAAACTACTAGTGAGAGAGCCCTGTTGGTTTTTAGTTTGTATTAGATTTGTTATCTACTGGTTCATGGAATACAAAGTACTGGGAGAAAGTGAAGTAACAAAGGTGTGAGCAACAGATCTGGTTTGTTTCTTATTGTTCCTTTACTTTGACATCCTGAAAGTAAGGATTAGTTTATACAGAGAGTCTAGTACCTGGTCCTACTCAACATCTCCCATATAGCCCGTATATGGGATTCAGATATCAGTAATATTGATTACCTGGCATGTAACATGCACTGCTGTTTTTATAAGTAATCTGGAAAAAAGGACTACGTTTTTTTTTTCTACTTTCTATCCTTAGTCATGGGAAAAAACTTGCTTTGAATGTCTTCTAGTAAACCAAAACCGGTTCCAAGCACACTAAAGCGCAACCAGAGGAGCAGTACAAAAGGAAGGGACAGTTCAGCTATATATATTACATTTCTATGACAATTTCCCAGTAGAATATGGATTTTTTTTAGCTGCAAAATATGTAAGTAGGAAAGGAACATACTTTAAAGTTTCTCTGGAATCCTGTAAATGGAAGTTCTTTTCCATGTCTTCCAAGACTATCTTGAAAACAGGTTACAGGGTAACTCTTAAGGCCTATATAAATGCATAAATATGATTTGATGTTACTGCATTTGTCTTGCCAAATTATCCAAAGCAAACATAGATACTGAAGTATATAAGCTACTGCCTCTATTTTAGAAACATTGGTGTAAATAACTGTTTTGTAGTGTCACTAACTTAACACTTGAAACATACTGTGTGAATTTTTGCAAAGTGGCATTGCTGAGAGGTAGAAACGAAGTAACTTTTTTTCTTTTTGATTTTTAGGCCCTATCTACAGAATCAGTAGAAAAACTCCCGGTTTTTAACAAATCTGCTTCCAAGCATTACCAAGCTACCTCAGAGGCAGATGACTGGTGTGTCCCAAGTAAAGACCCAAAGAATCTATCAAAGCAGAGTGTAGCTCTCTGAAGAGAAGCTGATATCCAGGCACGCAAGGGGATCAAAAAAGACTAGCATTTGAAAGTATTCATCTACTTCCAAACAAGGAAATTCTCCATTTTCAGGACTGGCAGAAGAGAATGAAGATAAGCATGTTATAGCCTAGGCTGTATGCATTGAATGTGAAATCTTGCTGTGGAGTTTAGGATGAGGAAAATAGGAGCACATATGTCTTTAAAGAAAAGATGTGTATAGAGGAAAACCAGACTATTTTTTTTTTCTTCCAATCGAAGACTTGATGTGGTAGATGTGTGCAATTTGAGTCCTGTTTAATGATTGAATTCTGAATACTGATAAATGTTAGTTATGCTGGTGTATATCTTTCTCCTAGAATAGTTATCAGTGGCTCATCTTATTACAGAACTTTTCAGGTAGATAGATAACACCTGTACTTTAAAGCTGTATTCATAACACTTGGAAAAGATCCACTTAACATGGCAGTCTTGTAGCAAGATACAAACAGCATTCAAATACAGCCTGACTGGAAGGGAGGGAGCCCTGGGAGGCAGGGAGAAAGTGTTTTCCATATATAAGGAAGTCCAATTTAAAAAAAAAAAAGAACCCTGTATTCCAGTAATAATTCTTATGTGTTGCCTTGCTCTGTGAGTTACCTTGCTAGATTTTTTTACATTAAGCCATTCATGGAAAACTAGCCAAGTAAGGCTCCTATGCATAAGGTAACTAAGAAAGAAACTGGGAGATTTTAGAAAGCTACTGGAAGAAGTGGAAAGCTACTTGGTTATAGGAGCTCTGAGGTTAGGCTACATCTAGCCTAACTCCCTGGACTCCAGAAAGCATGTGCCAAGTAAGTTGGGTAGGATTTTCTAAGAACTGAAGTCAGACATGCAAGTTGAACGGAAAGGTTTTGGTCATCTGTATTATGTAAGCATGATGTGGCAAACAGCATGTTTAAAACGTGGTTTTGTGGTTCCTTTTTGTTGTGCTGTTAGAAGATTAGTGGCTTAGTACACTAAACCGAAATCTGCCTCTCATCTTTGTCAAATTTGTATTGGACCACACTAGCTCTGAGGTACACAGGGACTGTACACCCTGAAAGCTGTGATGAGCACTGAAGGTTTGTTTGAAAGGGTATTCAGGAAGAGCAGTGTTGGAACTAGAATTTTATTCTAAGAACTGCTCATTGCAATGAAAAGGGCTTAGGAAATGAGAAGCTTCAAAATATGAACAGCACTGAAAACTATAGGGTAACTTTTACAAACAGAAAAATGATGGGGAATTGTCACAGGACCAGTGTCAGTGGGAAAGAGCTGTTGGGAAAATATTCCGTTCTCAATAAGCTGCTTCTTTTCCCATCTTCTTTGTGCATTTTCCCCCTTGTAAGCAAGGTAAACTTAATGACGGAATAGAAGTTAAACTATTGGACATTACCAAACTGGCCAGTCAAAGTTCATCAGCGCTGTCTAATATTACTTGAATTTTTTATACTAATTAGCGTATTATCTTAAGTGTATATGATTGTTTGCAAGAAGTTGCAAGTACAGTATTTAAAGCATCCTGCTCAGTCATACGACAGTTTTCTAAAACAGATTTCTGTTTATTGGACAAAAAGCCACTCCATACTCTACTGTGACTATAAAGTATTTTTTAATAGGAACAAGAGAAAGCTAGAAGTACCTTTGTCTTCTAGAAGTCCTGTTGGGATAGATTTCTCAATCAAAAATTAAATAGTATTCTGATATGCTTCATTTGTTTCAAAAACTGAATTTAGAAGTATTGGTGATAACTACTGAGCATAATGGCTTCAGTACTGCATCAGGGCTGTCTTTATCTCGGTGAATAAGCTGCAGTCACCAAAGGGCACCAGAATGTACCTGAACTCAGCTCAGTAAATGAAATGAATAATAAAAATGAAATACCTTTGTCTAAAATCTACAGGTGTGAAAAAGCTGCCTTCACTGCCATAATACACTTGAGATATTTGTTGATTTTTGTATTGAATACAGGATGACAAAAACATACCTAGGTAGTCATTGTTGTCAAGTAAACACAAGTTGAAGCTGCCTTCACTGCCATAATACACTTGATATATTTGTTGATTTTTGTATTGAATACGGGATGACAAAAACATACCTAGGTAGACATTGTTGTCAAGTAAACACAAGTTATATCTCTCTCTGCAGCCAGTAATGTTTGA